GGAGGAGCTCCTATTTATAGCCTCCTACATGTCTTTGGCCTTTCATCTAGTCAATGTGGGACTATTCCAAGTCCAAGAGAAGTTTCTAAATTACAATATAATATTCTATCTCTTAGACTATTCTTATGTACATACATAACTCTAGAACATTCTAGGTTATTCTTAGATTCTCTTTAAAGCTTTTCATTCTTGCTCTCTCCTGAATGTGGCGGAATCTTCTAGAGCCCCTTTGATGACTCTTTATATCCTGATCTTCTCTAGAATCTTCCATCTCGTGTTCGTCTTGACGACTTCTCGAATATGGCGGAGCGTGACATCGAGCTCAAATATAACCAAACTAGCCCAAAAGCTCGATCTAAGTTAGAACTTGACTCAGGCTCGAATTTTATAAACAATCTCAAGCTTGAACACAACCCTGCTCGACTCGGCTCATTTGCAGCCCTAGTAATACTCAATGTAATAATGAATGTGCATATGGAATTAGTGCTGAATTTCATGATTGATTTAAATAAATTCATATAAGTTTCACTCGGTGAATGAAACACATAGGCTCATTAATTTGATGAGCAAAGCTAGCATTACTTCACATCCAACCACAACAATCTTCGCAGAACTCATATCATACATGCCCCAGCAAACATAGGATTACTCCACGTCCAAACACAATAACCTCCACAACAAAACTAGAATTTTCATTATTTTTTGTGAAGAAATAAAAAACCAAAGTAGTGAAGCCAAATGGAGGGACCAAACACAACTTCCTCCACACCCGAACACAACAACCTCTACAACAATCATCAAATTACCCAAAAAAAAAAGACCATTTATGTGCAAGGGCGACTTGATAACAACCTAAACGACAGCAAACGAAACAACTCCTCCAACCCAAACAAATCAGACAACCAAAATAACTCAGAACAATGAGGGACAAAAGTAAAGCCAAACTCTGACAACCCAAACAACTCTGACGACCCAAAGTACGCAGAATAATGAGGATAGAAAAGTTAAACGACGACAAACAAAACAACTCAGGAAATCCAAACAACTCAGCAATGTTCAAAAAAGCTTACCATAGCTGAGGGGCGTTGGATGTGAGACTGATGCGAAGATGAAGCAAAATGAGCTCGAAACTGAGACGAGAAGATAAACGTCTAGGGGCTTGAAGAACAAAACGAGTTTAGACCGCGGTCAAAGCACATAACGCACTAATAAGGAAGAGGTCGCAAAAGTCATTCCATAGACTTGCATATTCGAAAAACACTAAAAATTGAGCACCCCAAACGTTCATAACGAAGCAATTTGAATCGCACTGCAGCATGGAAGCTGGACTAAATAGAGCCTAAACTGCTCCAATAAATTTTTTTCTTCAAAATGTATCATTTGCATATATTATTCTAGGTCATTCCAATTTTTTTTTTTTAAATATAAATTCAAACCTAATTGGAGAGCAAAAGCACTTATAACATTAAAAATTTTAATATCAACAATAATCTTTAAAGCAATAACTTTATCTCCAATTCTCTTAATTTTTATAACATTATATTTTAGCTCTTATCTATAATTACATATATAATATTTCTAGTACAACTCCCGCCTAGATACCAAAATTTAAAACCTATGTTATTAATACTTTTAGCATTTTTCCAACACATTTAGTTTTTTTTAATACATAAGATATTTATCTTCTTATGAACCATCTATTTATTACATTAATTTATCTATGTGAGTACATATAGTTCAAGTTTATATTTTAATATTAAGTTCATGGACTAACTTCTTTGCTTGCATTAATCTGTAATATGAAAATTCTTGTTTGTTTAAAACTACACCGGGTGTCGATGCAACAACCCTTGCAAATATTTCACTATATTCAATCTATAAAGCATATCACTTCCAAGAGACCTTAGCATTGACACAATGATTTAAAAGATTCATATCATAATTTTTTGACAAAAAATTATGTTGGTTGCAAACTACCTAACACAACCCTCCATTTTTAGCATCTGAGATTTCGGACCCGACAATGGCAATGTTAAGTCTAGCATGGTCAACATCGGCATGTAAATGAAATCGAAGCACATTTAACCAAATACATACAAAAAGAAGAAATCGCTTAGGTGTAGCAGGATGAAAAAAAATGGCGTACTTAATGTCAAAAAATAAATTGAGGGATAGTCACCATAAGTTAGATGGTGTAATGTCTAGCCAATAATAACAATAATAAAAGCAAGAATATTGAACCATTTAGTACTGATTCATGCTCTTACATAGGGAAGATGAAGATGAGAAGTTGCCTATATGAGTAAATAAAGACAAAAAGTCGGGTTGAGTGAATAAAGAAAGCGAGCGATAGGAAAAAGAAGAGCATGAGATAAAGGAGGTCGAGCGCAAGCGAGATTGTACCCAAAAGCACACAATCGATGGGCAATTAAGAGTGAGATCAAGTGTACTTACAAGCTAGAAATTAACACAAGCTAGAGCAATGACGAGTCAACCTTGAGACAAATCAAAGTATTTGCATATTAAATGATCAAGATAAATAATAGTTACGGCAATATTATTAATTCTTTTATACATAATGTATTTAATGTTAATGATATTTGTTAAATTAATTGTCAGTGCAAATTTTTCAATTATTTATTTTATTAAATATTTGGTTAAATTGAATGAATGATAAATACTCTTAGTATGTTTAAATAATTTATTATAGAAATTGATTATTATTTAAGTATATCAATTAAATGTAAAATGCGAATAAAATTATCAATATAAAATGCTTGTATGAGCATTTGACCGACCCTCTTATAGTACTAACTAAGGACATTAGTGTACTCGTGCATATGAACTAAAAAAGTTATTGATATTAACCTACCACAATTGGTCCAATTTAAACAGTATTCATGTTGAGGATGAAATTGATAAGATGAAATTAGTGCTGTCAAAACGGCTCGACGTTCGCAAATAGCTCGTGTTCAGCTCGTTAAGAAGCTCGTATTCAACTCGTTTGCTAAGTTAACGAGCCGAACACGAACAAAGATTTATTTGTTCGTGTTCGGCTCGTTTTGGCTCGAAATACTACTCATCAATT